GAACTTATTTTCATAACAGATCAGTTTATTTGATACCGTCTCGATAGAATGGACATATCATATCATTTACACATTTATCTGTAATTGCTTGAAAAATTGGTAGTTGAATGCATATATGATAATATCTTGTCATTTGAATATATACAAATGACTTGATATATTTAACCTATGTACAATTTCATAGTTGTTTTTTTTGTCAAGTTACCCTAGAGCAAAGTCCAGAATTTAATCTCCCTTATAGGGGAGGTCTCTGTTTATTTTTAAAACTAGGTATGTCCACAGAATGTGTCAAAATTCAAGGGAGGTAAATGATAATTACACCAATTATTATAGTCAGTCGAAAAGACTTAAAGACAACTTACAATAAGATAAGAGCAGATTCATTATTTGGTACGGTTCGCGGTACCATCAATTATTCGATTTCTTGTTTTTTTTTAAATAAAAATAAATAAGGTGACTGAGAGAGAGAATAAATACATTGTCGGGTGCGTTTGGTTTATCATTTTAAATAGGATTTTGGGGATAATATTGGATTGTTGGATAAGGGAGTATTACGAGATAAACTTTAAAAATTTATGAAAAAGCTGTTAGGTTTACTAATTTAATTAAATACCCTAATACATAAAATGACAAAAACACCCCTACCACCTGCAATACCAGATTTTGGCCACCACCGTTGGAATCTGGTCGAAAAATTTCGTTACGACACAGATCCAACCAGATCCACCACAGATCTGGTCGGAAAAGGTTAGATCTATGAACTGTTGTGGCTGCGACGGTCGGAAAAGGCTTAAACGACGGCAGATCTTTGGCCATTACCGGCTATTTCCGGTGGCTGTGTGACTATTGTGATAGATTTCGGTTACCACCGGCAGTGGTTGCCGAAATCTGGCAGGCATTGGTGGGTGGGAGTGTTTTTGTTAGTTTTTAGACTTTTTTTCTGAGGAGTATTTAATGAAATTAATAAACTTATAGGGTCTCAACGTAATTAAAAAAATAGACTAATATTTTGGAAACAACGTGCCAAACAATATTTGAAAAATAAGGTTGGGAATATAGATAAAAACAATAAGTCATACGCACCCGTCAATATTACTCATCTTTTTTAATGCATAATGTCACATTTGTAACATAAAATATCTTACCACCAATATTAAATGTTACTTTGTCAACACATATAAGAATTAATTAGTGACAAATCAACAAAATCATAAATATCAAGGGGTTTAATGCTATTATATATACTTCAAGGGTTTTTAGTACAGGTATATATCTTAGGGGGTTTATAGTTATTAACCTCATATGTAAGCTATATATCAATAGAAACTTTTCTTATGTATATAGCATGAAAATTTTTAGCCTATAGATTAAAGATCAATGATTATTATCTGGGCCATGGTGGTAGATTGCTATAGGATAGTGCTAAGGATTAGTCAAGATGTGCATTGTAAACTGATTCAGACACTTCAATTACTAGAAATAAATAAATAAATAAGATCAATGATTCATAGCTATTTTTTATTTTACATTTTTGTGAATCTAATTGGCTACTAACTTATACATATTAACACTTTAAGACTTTTGTTCCAGATATTGAGTATATATACTAATTACAAGGGTAATATTTCAATTTTTTATGGTATACTTATGAAGTTACTTATCAAGAAAAAAGAAAGAAAAAAAAATTAAATAAGAAAAAAATTTTTGAGTTTTGATATTCTTTAACATATATTTAATGGTGACATTTTGGCAGCAAAGAAGAGATTCTTAGGCATGTTTAATTTTTTATAGGGACAAGGTTGCAGCCTGCGCTAGCACTTGTGGGGGATGGTGGGACAACCAAGGGCATCAATGAGAACAACACTGAGATTGACTTGCATGAATTGCTGAGCATCCACATGCCTGCTTATTCTGATGATTATTAAAGGTGTCAACAATCATGGTTCCTATTCCAGCTGGATGGGATAAAAATGCATGCAAACGTGAGTTAGTTACGGTTCCTGAAGAACACCCTCAAGTTTAAAGTAAGTTCACCTTGCTTTTATCATCCTCACCGTGATCGCACAACCAAGATGTGGCTGCATTGTTTAAATGTAGATTTGGCAACATGAATTTTCTTATTGCCTCCATGCTTTGACCATTCCCTAAATTTGATTCAAAATTTTACCTACTCTCACATGTATCTTGCTGCGTATACTCAAACCATTGTAGTTGATTTCTCCTACATTGTCCCCAAATGGTGTAGCCTTTAGTTGATATACACAGTCGTTTTTACCGCTGCATATTCCTATTTCATTCTAGTCCTACTGACATAAAGTCTCTAAAGTTTTCATGAAAAATTAAATATGATATTACTCATTTGCTTGGAATTTTCTTTTCGAAGTGCTTTTAAGGACCTTATACTGGCTGTTTGGAGTCTTTTTCTGCAACTGTAGTATTTATGTAAACACAAGTAAAATTTCATGAACTGCATTTGATGTATTGAATTAATTTTCAGGGTTTGTTATTCAGATTGGGAGGGGGTGATAGAATCACCTCACCACCACATGCAAACTACACTTACTCTGTCCTAGCGTGTTCAAGCTGGGATTGACATGGTTAGTGGCTCACTTCATGGACTACTCTCATCCGGCACTGAATTAATGATAACTGTTCTGTACAGTCATCAATGTACAGATGCAAACCTGATGACAAGTAAATGAATTTAAAATTCTTCGTTTTACAGGTCATGTCCCCTGAACCATACTGAGTTCATTGATGATCTTACTAGCCTTGTCAAGAGCAATGTAATCTCAATGGATCGTATTGATGATGCTGTAGGGAGGATTTTGCTAGTCAAGTTCACCATGGGTCTCTTTGATAACCCTTTGGCTGATCTAGCCTTGTGAATGAGCTTGGAAGCCAGGTTATTTAGCTAATTTAAGCAAGATTCCTAAATTTCAAACTGGTTTTTCAATTGCAAGTTGATGAAAATAGATGTGTGAAATTGCATTTATTCTCTATCTGAGTCCCATACTATTAATTTTAAAATGTTTTGTACATAACCAGGCACATCGGACTTAGCAAGGGAAGCTGTGAGGAAACACTTGTGTTGCTGAAGAATGGGAAAAATGAAAGCAATCCAGTACTACCACTTCCAAGAAAGCTCCAAAGATCCTAGTCGCTGGTAGTCATGCTGATAATTTGGGTTCAATGTGGTGGGTGGACAATTAACTGGCAAGGATTTAGCGGGAACAACTGACAAGGGGTATGCTTCCTTGCACTGTATGAGATATTTAGTAAAAATATCTCACTTATGATTCATGTTTGGAACTTCTGTCTTTTGTTCTTTGACTAGAAACATGATGAGAGATTTTTTACTTATCCCATTAAGGGTTCTGTTGGCAGAATATTGTTGATGTTAAGCCGAGCTAAACTACATGTTTACTAGTGAACTGCATATTTTTATATATTTTTTCTGCATCTTGATTACTAATTTTAAATGGCTGAAAAGAGTGTAGTTTATGCTTCCATTAGTTGGTCTTTGCTATCTAATCCAGGCAGGCACCTGAAAATCAGGCCATCAATAGAAGGTGGTTGTAGATGTGTATTCACGACGCAGATGACTTATCCTATTACGGCTTTTGCTTGGTATTGCTTGGTTTTTAGTCTACCTGATGTGTTTTGTATGAATTCTTTGCTAAAGACTCGAGTATCCTTTGTACGTTTTCCATGATCATAAACAGTTGCAGGATATAACTGTAACAATGATTTTGATGAAGTTCTTTTCCATTTCTAGGGACCACATCCTAGTGCCATAAGGTCGCTGTAGACCAAGCACAGAAGTTGTCTACCGTGAGACTCCGGATGCCGAGTTTGTTAAGTCCAACAAATTTGATTATGCCATTGTTGCTGTTGGTGAGGCCCCTTATGCGAGACTGCAGGGGACAGCATGACCCCACAATGTTGGAATCTGGCCCAAATGTCATTAAAAATGTCTGTGGAGCTGTTAAGTGTGTGGGTTATCATAATTTCTGGGAGACCTATAGTAATCGAACCATATGTTTCTCCATTGATGCCTTAGTTGCAGCATGGTTACCGGGCACTGAAGGCCAAGGGTGTGACTGAGTCCTCTATGGGACTTTGGATTTAGTGGAAAGCTTCCAAGAACTTGGTTTAAAACCGTTGATCAACTTCCTATGAATGTTGGGGATCACACATATGACCCGCTGTACCTTTGATTTGTTGACTTAAAACTGAATCTTCCAACCCTTGTTGCCAGGGAAATCTTCACATTGGTAGGCTTTACATTCATGTACACATAGGTATCTACCTGCTATATTTATACAGACAATGGGCATACTTTGGTTTCTATAACATTAAACTTGTTAGATTCACGATTTTCAAAAGATTGAGTGCATGTAAATGTGATGATTAATGAATTGGATGCATAAATGTTAAAATACATTTCAAAAGTTGGGATCCATATATATTTTCAACACAAAATAATATATTTGTGAGTATTTTGGTAAGTGTATAAGACCATACTTGGTTCATGCTATCATCAATCAAACCATCCATGAGCATCAAGTTTCACATCTACAACTTAAATAATTTTTAATGTGTTCTCTCAACTTGAGCACTCTGATAATAAAGTTAAGTGTTGCACTTAATACCATATGTCAAATAGACTGTGTTGGAATTAAATCTAATGGCTTGGTTGAATGAAGAAAGTGGTATATAGAATATCTCAAGAAGTAATTCTGTACTTGTAAGCCATGAATGAATTTATTCTTCTCTTTCTGTAAAGTCATTATTCCAAGAGTTTGAATATCCTTTAGCTGGCACAATGATATGTTCTTTAATACAGCATTTGGTATCGTAAGAAGAATGATTTAAATTAAAATCATCAAACTTTTAGTGAACGGAGAAACAGCCTCACTAATATTTGCCTTTTTATTGTATTAATCGTATCGCCATAGTTGTCACTTTATCATCTCCCTTTTGGTGCCTCATTCACCATGCTTTTGTCTCGGCTTCCGTTATGCTTCTTATTGCTTTTGTTCTTAATAACCTCCGTGAGTTCGGAGTATGTGACGTACAAGGACGCGAAGCAGCCGGTGGCTGCTCGGGTTAAAGACTTGATGAGTAGAATGACACTGGAAGAGAAGATTGGTCAGATGGTTCAGATTGATCGGACTGCTGCCACTGCCGAGATAATGAAGGATTACTCCATTGGTGAGTAACCTTCATTGATAGCTTGAGCTTTTTGGAAGGAAGTTTATTTTTTTAAGGCATTTTTGTTGAGTTTTGATGGTTTATGGAAATGAGCAATCTTTGTTTTGTGTAGGGAGTGTGTTGAGTGGTGGAGGGAGTACGCCGCTTCCTCAGGCGAGTGCTGAAGATTGGGTCAATATGGTTAACGATTTTCAAAAAGGGTCTTTGGCTAGTCGTTTGGGGATCCCAATGATCTATGGCATTGATGCCGTTCATGGCCACAACAATGTTTATAATGCTACTATTTTTCCTCATAATGTTGGCCTTGGAGCTACCAGGCAAGTATCTTTATCTGTAAATTGAGCAAATTTTTAATGGGTATGTTGAGGTGATGTGATGTTTGTTCTGTAAATGTGTCTGGGTTGAACATGATGATGATGGGATTATAGTTCTAAATTGATGATTGATGAAGAAAATCTGACTGGAAGCTCCCTTGAAATGCAGGGATCCTGATTTGGTGAAGAGGATTGGGGCTGCAACTGCTGCCGAGAGTAGAGCTACAGGGATTCCTTATGTTTTTGCGCCTTGCATTGCGGTAAAAGATATGCCATAGATCAGTTGATTAAAATCAGATGATTTCATCACTGCATTATTAAGTTGGATGTATGGACTGTGTAATTGATGTCACTTCTTTTTCATAGGTTTGTAGAGATCCAAGATGGGGTCGGTGTTATGAAAGCTACAGTGAGGATCACAAAGTTGTGCAATCAATGACAGAGATTATACTTGGATTACAAGGAGATATTCCTTCTGATTCTCGAAAAGGAGTTCCATATGTGGGTGGAAAGTAAGAACTCCATCAAAGTCAAACAAATACTTTATAGGATAATATTTGCTGTTGGTTTTTTTTTTTTTTAATATTTTATACATATTATTGGCATATCTCATTCTTGCTTTGGCGTTATTATTTTGATGGATTAAATTTATATCAATAAGCTTGCCAAGTCGAGCTTTTACATTTCTTATTCTGCTGTGGTTTTCCAAATAACATAAGCTTTAAAATGGTTTACATCCCAAGACTCTGATATGGTGAAATTTATTGCTTCTGTCATCTCTCTCAGCCATCTAACGGTGCATTTTTTATTTGCTTCGTTGGTTATCATGGATAGTATAATATCTCATCACTCTTAAAGTTTTCATCTAAAAAAGAAAGTTTTCAGCAGCTGAAATGTCTATACTATATGGTGTTTTTCACTTGTTAGCTTGTGTTCTTCATTGTATCCTTTGGTTAATGAAATTTTTTTATAGGGACAAGGTTGCAGCCTGCCTAAGCACTTTGTGGGTGATGGTGGGCAACCAAGGGCATCAATGAGAACAACACTGAGATTGACTTGCATGAATTGCTGAGCATCCACATGCCTGCTTATTCTGATTCGATTATTAAAGGTGTTTCAACAATCATGGTCCTATTCCAGCTGGAATGGATAAAAATGCTCAAACCGTGAGTTAGTTACAGGTTTCCTGAAGAACACCCTCAAGTTTAAAGTAAGTTCACCTTGCTTTTATCATCCTCACCGTGATCGCACACCAGATGTGGCTGCATTGTTTAAATGTAGATTTGCAATCATGAATTTTCTTATTGCCTCCATGCTTTGACCATATCCCTAAATTTGATTCAAAATTTTCACCTACTCTCACATTCGTATTCCTTGCTGCGTATACTCAAACCATTGTATTTTGATATCTCCTACATTGTCCCCAATGTGTTACCTTTAGTTTATATACACAGTCGTTTTTACCTGCTTATCCTTATTTCATTCTAGTCCTACTTGACATAGTTCTAAAGTTTCATGAAAAAATTAAATATGATATTACTCATTTGCTTGGACTTTTCTTTTCTGAAGTGCTTTTAAGGACCTTATACTGGCCTGTTTGAGTCTTTTTCTGCAACTGTAGTTTTATGTAAACACAAGTAAAATATTTCATGCTACTGCATTTGATGTATTGAATTAATTTTCAGGGTTTTGTATCTCAGATTGGGAGGGGATTGATGAATCACCTCACCACCACATGCAAACTACACTTACTCTGTCCTAGCAGGTGTTCAGCTGGGATTGACATGGTTAGTGGCTCACTTCAGGGACTAATCTCATCCGGCACTGAATTAATGATAACTGTTCTGTACAGTCATCAATGTACAGATGCAACTGATGACAAGTAAATGAATTTAAAATTCTCTCTGTTTTTACAGGTCATGCTCCCCTTGAACCATACTGAGTTCATTGATGATCTTACTAGCCTTGTCAAGAGCAATGTAATCTCAATGGATCGTATTGATGATGCTGTAGGGAGGATTTTGCTAGTCAAGTTCACCATGGGTCTCTTTGATAACCCTTTGGCTGATCTCAGCCTTGTGAATGAGCTTGGAAGCCAGTTATTTAGTCTAATTTTAACAAGATTCCTAATTTCAAACTGGTTTTTCAATTGCAAGTTATGAAAATAGATGTGTGAAATTGCATTTATTCTCTATCTAGAGTCCCATTACATATTAATTTTAAAATGTTTTTGTTACATAACCAGGCACATCGTGACTTAGCAAGGGAAGCTGTGAGGAAATCACTTGTGTTGCTGAAGAATGGGAAAAATGAAAGCAATCCAGTACTACCACTTCCCAGAAAAGCTCCAAGATCCTAGTCGCTGGTAGTCATGCTGATAATTGGGTTATCAATGTGGTGGTGGCAATTAACTGGCAAGGATTTAGCGGGAACCTGACAAGGGGTATGTCTTCCTTTGCACTGTATGAGATATTAGTAAAATATCACTCTTATGATTCATGTTTGGCTTCTGTCTTTTGTTTTTTGACTAGAAACATGATAGAGGATTTATTTACTTATCCCATTAAGGTTCTGTTGCAGAATTTGTTGATGTTAAGCCGAGCTAAACTACATGTTTTACTAGTGACTGCATATTTTTATATTATTTTTTCTGCATCTGATTACTAATTTTAAATGGCTGAAAAGAGGTGTAGTTTATAGCTTATCCCATTAGTTGGTCTTTGCTATCTAATCCAGGCAGGCACCTGAAATTCAGGCCATTACAATAGAAGGTTTGTGTTACATGTGTTCCAGACGCAGATGACTTATCCTATTACGGCTTTTGCTTGAGTATTGTCTTGGTTTATTATGTCTTACCTGTGTGTTTTGTAGTGAATTCTTTGCTAAGACCGAGTATCCTTTGTACGTATTTCCATGATCATAACCAGTTGCAGGATATAACTGTAACAATGATTTTGATGAAGTTCTTTTCCATTTCTAGGGACCACCATCCTTAGTGCCATAAGGTCTGCTGTAGACCCAAGCACAGAAGTTGTCTACCGTGGGACTCCGGATGCCGAGTTTGTTAAGTCCAACAAATTTGATTATGCCATTGTTGCTGTTGGTGAGGCCCCTTATGCCGAGACTGCAGGGGACAGCATGACCCTCACAATGTTGAATCTGGCCCAAATCATTAAAAATGTCTGTGGAGCTGTTAAGTGTGTGGTTATCATAATTTCTGGGAGACCTATAGTAATCGAACCATATGTCCTCCATTGATGCCTTAGTTGCAGCATGGTTACCGGCACTGAAGGCCAAGGTGTGACTGATGTCCTCTATGGACTTTGGATTTAGTGGAAGCTTCCAAGAACTTGGTTTAAAACCGTTGATCAACTTCCTATGAATGTTGGGGATCCACACTATGACCCGCTGTACCCTTTTGATTTGGACTTAAAACTGAATCAGTTCCAACCTTGTTGCCAGGTAAATCTTCATTCATTGGTAGCTTTACATTCATGTACACATAGGTATACCTGCTTATATTTATCAGAAAATGGGCATACTTGGTTTCTATAACATTAAACTTGTTGATTCACGAATTCAAAAGATTGAGTGCTGTAAATTGTGATTCTTAATGAATTGGATGCATAAATTGTAAAATACATTTCAAAAGTTGGGATCCTATATATATTTTCAACACAAAATAAATCTATTTGTGTGTTTTTGGTAAGTGTATAAGACCATACTTGGTTCACTGCTATCATCAATCAAACCATCCATGAGCATTCAAGTTTCACATCTACAACTTTAATTTTTAATGTGTGTTCTCTTCAACTTGAGCACTCTGATAATAAGTTAAGTGTTGCACTTAATACCATAATGTTCAAATAGACGTCGTTGGAATTAAATCTAATGGCTTGGTTGAATGAAGAAGGGGTATATAGACTATCTTCAAGAGTAATTCTGTCTTGTAAGCCATGAAGTAATTTATTCATTTCTCTTTCTGTAAAGTCATTATTCCAAGAGTTTGAATACCTTTAGCTGGCACAATGATATGTTCTTTCAATACAGCATTTGGTATCGTAAGAAGATGATTTAAATTAAAAATCATCAAACTTTTAGTGAACGGAGAAACAGCCTCACTAATATTTGCCTTTTTATTGTATTAATCTATAGCATTGGTTACTGTACGATACTTCATTAAGTGTTTGATGTTTCATCTATAGGTCAACCTCGGCTGTGTTTATAGAAGACCATACATAGTTCTCATCATGGTTTTGCTGATGATCGGTTCTTATTTCACAGGTATAATTTCTTCCTAATAACCCCATGGATCAACATTTGCATCCTTCTTATATTTTATTGATATTAATGTTTGACTAACTTTGATAGGTTGAACTCAACTTATTGAAGTTCTGAGCAGCAGCTACAAAAGAAGTAACTTAGGGCTCTCTTAGAGACTAGATATCTATTCACTTCTAGTAGCTTAGAATATTAGCAAGCATTCTTGAGTGCTCAGCACAATTTTCATATTTGGTTTTGCTGGACACTAATTTTTAGTCGTTGTAGGTTTAGATGCAATCATTGTTGAGCTTAGTACTCTGAGAACTGCAAGAAATTAATTTAGTCAAATCTTTTTATTGTCTTTCAAATGCCATATGTATGCATTAATTAAGTCTCTCTCAGTCCGCATTCAATGGTGCAAAAGAGTTTCATTTTGATTTCTAGCAGGCGTTGGAGTCTTTTAATCCATTACCAAATTACTATTTTCATAAAAACCAATTTGGAAAGACGATATTTACCATTTCACTAGTTGTTCACTGCAAACATTATGTTCAATTCAGCATGATCATCTGGCCTCTTGATATTGAACTTATTTTCATAACAGATCAGTTTATTTGATACCGTCTCGATAGAATGGACATATCATATCATTTACACATTTATCTGTAATTGCTTGAAAAATTGGTAGTTGAAGCATTATGATAATATCTTGTCATTTGAATATATACAAATGACTTGATATATTTAACCTATGTACAATTTCTAGTTGTTTTTTTTGTCAAGTTACCCTAGAGCAAAGCTAAATTTACCTCCTTATAGGAGGTCTCTTGTTATTTTTAAAACTAGGTATGTCACAGAATGGGTCAAAATTCAAGGGAGGTAAATGATAATTACACCAATTATTATATCAGTCGAAAAGACTTAAAGACAACTTACAATAAGATAAGAGCAGATTCATTATTTGGTACGGTTCGCGGTACCATCAATTTCGATTTCTTGTTTTTTTTAAATAAATAAATAAGGTGACTGAGAGAGAGAATAAATACATTGTCGGGTGCGTTTGGTTTATCATTTTAAATAGATTTTGGGGATAATATTGGATTGTTGGATAGGGGAGTATTACAGATAAACTTTAAAAATTTATGAAAAGCTGTTAGGTTTACTAATTTAATTAAATACCCTAATACATAAATGACAAAAACACCCCTACCACCTGCAATACCAGATTTTGGCCACCACCGTGGAATCTGGTCGAAAAATTTCGTTCGACACAGATCCAACCAGATCCACCACAGATCTGGTCGGAAAAGGTTAGATCTATAACTGTTGTGGCTGCGACGGTCGAAAAGGCTTAAACGACGGCAGATCTTTGGCCATTACCGGCTATTTCCGTGGCTGTGTGACTATTGTGATAGATTTCGTTACCACCGGCAGTGGTTGCCGAAATCTGGCAGGCATTGGTGGGTGGGGTGTTTTTGTTAGTTTTTAGACTTTTTTTCTGAGGAGTATTTAATGAAATTAATAAACTTATAGGGTCTCAACGAATTAAAAAAATAGACTAATATTGGAACAACGTGCCAAACAATATTGAAAAATAGGTTGGGAATATAGATAAAAACATAAGTCATACGCACCCGTCAATATTACTCATCTTTTTTAATGCATAATGTCACGTTTGTAACATAATATCTTACCACCATATTAAATGTTACTTTGTCAACACATTAAGAATTAATTAGTGACAAGTCAACAAAATCAAACTATCAAGGGTTTAATCTTTATATATACTTCAAGGTTTTTAGTACAGGTATAATCTTAGGGGGTTTATAGTTATTAACCTCATAGTAAGCTATATATCAATAGAAACTTTTCTTATGTATATAGCATGAAAATTTTTAGCCTATAGATTAAAGATCAATGATTATTATCTGGGCCATGGTGGTAGATTGCTATAGTAGTGCAAGGATTAGTCAAGATGTGCATTGTAAACTGATTCAGACACTTCAATTACTAGAAATATATAAATAAGATCAATGATTAATAGCATTTTTTATTTTACATTTTTGTGAATCTAATTGGCTACTACTTATACATATTAACACTTTAAGACTTTTGTTCAGATATTGAGTATATATACTAATACAAGGGTAATATTTCAATTTTTTATGGTATAGTTTATGAAGTTACTTATCAAGAAAAAGAAAGAAAAAATTAAATAAGAAAAAAAAATTGAGTTTTGATATTCTTTAACATATATTTAAGGTGACATTTTGGCAGCAAAGAAGAGATTCTTAGGCATGTTTTTCTGTTCAAGAGATTCCTTAATGTAGTGGTTCGATAGTGACTCTTGGGTATATTATTCAGAGATCCTGAGTTCAAGTCCTCCTTGGGTACTATAAGGGTTTCATTAGAACTTATCCGATCGATAGTTTCAGAGTTTCGAAGAATTATATAATGCACTAAGCTAGTTTGGACACTCCCGATCATCAAAAAAAAAAAAAAAAAGATTTCCTTGTGTTTTCGGTCCTGGATATGATGGTTAGATTTAAACACATTTTCTTCCCAAGTTCATTCTAATCCTCTTAGAATGGTGTTGCGTAAGATTATTATTTTTCTTTTCTTTTGTACAAATCAAAGATACAAATTATTAGGAGTAAGTCATTGTTTTAGAGACTTGGTCTATCTACGATCAAACAATTACAAGATTTGTATGTTTGTATAAATTCACATGATATCTCGTGATTGATTGATTGTATGTGTAACATATAATTTCAACAAGATTTGTATCCATTTTATTTATTTATGAATAAAATCTGCATAACCTTGAGACATTATATGCTACATCCAAAACTAGGCAAGTTCAAACTTCAAACATTTAACATCTCATATTAGTTAAAAAAACTTTTCATCCATGTCTTTTCCTGTATGGGAGTTACCTTCTTATTTTTCAAATCTTAAGATCCAATTATACCCAAGGGTGGCTAAAATTCCCTCAAAATATAACTAAAAAAAATAATGAAAAATAAAAAGGGAAGGTAACAATTCAAATCCTAATTACTAATTGGGCTTATCGAGTGCCCCCTCACCCCGAATGCGTTGACGTTAACCCGGTAAAAAGTATGAATCACATCTAACAATGCATAGACTATTGTAGATAAAGTTAAGGGTAAAATGAACATCTGAAATATAAATTATCTTTTCCTTACAAAAATAACAAAACTCCTTATTCCTCCTTTTTAAATATTTACAAACCCAATTACTAATTGGGCTTACGAAGCGCCTCCTAACCCCCGAATGCGTCAGTGTTAACCCCGTACAAAGTATGAATCAAATCTAGTTAAAGTCGATAGTAAAATAGACATTTGGAAAGTATGAACCAAATCTAGTTAAAGTCGATAGTAAAATAGACATTTGGAATACAAACCGATGGTAAAATAGACATTAAACTATCTTTTACTTACAAAAGTAACAAAACTCCTTATTCCTCCATTTTAATATTAAGAATGCTTTTTTTATAATTTTTTTTTCCTTCAAAATTAAACCAAAACGTTTGGTTTTTATTTTAGATTAATATTTGAATTAATTATTTTTAAAAAATAGTTGAAGACTTGAATCAATATAATAACCAACATTTTTAATTGGAAATTTAATTATACATTATAATATTTTAAGGATATTTTTATAAAAAAAAAACTGCTTTGAGATGATTAATTTCAAAATCACTCAAATTTCTGGATATTTTTTCTTGTTTATTTTAAATGGGTTTTGGGTCTCATTCTAGGAATCTCAACTTATTTAACTGGAAACTCTCCCAAACTTTCAGCACAAACATTTCACAAACACTCATTTCTTCTCCATCTTCGTTCATTCCCATTCTTTTCCCAACAATACTCGGCTTTTCATCAAACCCGGTACGAACAAAACTTTTCCTTACATTTAAACTTTCTTTTAATTTGCATACTGCACCCTTAACTTTTACGTGAAATATTATTTTTTTTGTTCTTGATTGTCATTTTGTTTAATTCATGAACTTGAAAGGTTCTTATTAATTGAGTGAAATTGTGCAATGCATAATAGAGAGGATAAGGATGTGAATTTATTTGACTCAACTGTAATGGGTGTGCAGAGTTTATTGGTTTAGACAATTATGGATCGTCTCAATGGTTCTGCACGTCTCATGATAGTTTCGGACCTTGACTTAACAATGGTAATTAACATTTTTGTTGATGGACTCATTACTTATTGTAATCCTTCAGTGAATTTGATTGGCGTTGTGGGTTTTATTTTTGTTTTAGGTGGATCATGATGATCAAGAGAACATTTCGCTTCTTAGGTTTAACGCGTTGTGGGAATCTTGTTACCGTCATGATTCTCTGCTTGTTTTCTCGACTGGAAGGTCACCTACAATTTATAAACAGTTGAGGAAAGAGAAACCTTTGTTGACTCCTGATATAACTATTATGTCTGTGGGAACTGAGATTGCGTATGGCGAATCGATGGTACGAGATGATGGCTGGGAGCAGTATCTGAATTACAAGTGGGACAGGGGCATAGTCTTGGAGGAAACATCCAAGTTTCATGAACTTGTCCCTCAGGTTGGTTTCTACCCGAATTGACAACTTAAGTTGATATATAACAGAATTCAAATCAGAATGGCCCTTACTTGCCAAGGTTCAATCAGATTCCAATAAGAAGCAGAAATTATATATAACTCGATCAGTGCAAAAAGGAGATTGGGACGCTAGACCACTTGGTTGGCTTGACTTGATATTACATAAGTAACTAATATACTTATATAAATAAAGGTCTTGCTATAATAGAATGCAGTGTCAGAGTGGGGTATTTTAACTATAGGAACACTTACACTTTTAGAATTAATTAGTGGCTTCGCAGTTTCAGTATCGAGAAATTTTATGAGTATTAAGAGGTGAAAGAATATGACTTTATATTCAACAAAGCTGGTGAAATGTATAAGTGCATATTGCATTTTAAGAGTTTGGACTTTCATGGGTTATTGCAGTCAGAAACGGAGCAACGACCTCACAAAGTCAGCTTCTTTATCGAAAAGTCTAAGGCCTCTGCAGTAATGAAAGCTCTGTCAGAACACCTGGAAAAACACGGGGTAAGATTGCATCCTTGACATTCCTATTCTTGCAATATCATGGGCAATTTTAAGTCAAAATGTTATTTGCATACTGAAGCATCTGCAGCAATTTCACATCATATTTTCTGCTTTTATACCATAGCCGCCTTATATTCTTCAACTGAATAAATACCTTGTCTGTGTTAATTTGTCTTTGGCCAGTTAGATGTGAAAATTATTTTTAGTAGTGGGACGGCTTTGGAAGTATTACCAAAAGGTGCTGGCAAGGGACAGGCTCTTGCATATTTGCTGAAGAAATTTAGAATCGATGGAAAAATGCCTGTTAATACTCTTGTCTGTGGTGACTCTGGGAATGATGCAGAACTATTTGGCATTCCTGAAGTATATGGTGTGATGGTTTGTATCTTATAAGCTTCTCTCTGTTCATATAATTCTTATTTTGTATCATCATCATTAGTTTGCTGCTACTGATGCCTTGAATATGCAGGTCAGCAATGCACAAGAAGAATTGTTGCAGTGGTATGAAGAAAATGCAAAGAACAATCCCAATATAATTCATGCAACTGAGAGATGTGCTGCTGGAATTATACAAGCCATTGGATATTTTGGTCTTGGCCCAAATGTATCTCCAAGAGATATAAGAGATTTCCAAACATGCAAAGTGGACATATTCAGTCCGGGTCATCAAGTTGTGAAGTTTTATTTGTTTTATGAGAGATGGCGACGTGCAGAAGTTGAGAAATCCGAGTTCTATATGCAAAACTTAAGATTGGTCTTTGTAAGTTCTTTTCCTAATTTTTCTTTTAAAAGCCTTATTTTATTTTGATATTTATATTAAATTGCATTTTATTGGGTATTGTAATGCAGGAAGCATTTTGATTTCCAGAGAGCCATTTTTTATTTTTTGGTCATAGGAAGAATTTGGCTACTCTTTTTTTTAATAAGAGAATTTTGACTACTGTTACATCTAGGTTTGGAAATTAGTAAACTAGGAGAATGACATACGTGACTTGAATTAAGTTGTGGGAATCAATGGGCTGTGTTGATTCACTTGAGTCGACAAAATAGGGTGGGCATATGATGAAACAGCATCCTTGTAATTGACCCTAACCAACTAGGTTAATTTGGATCGGATTTTTTTGTTGTTTTTCTTGCACACACCTGATCAGTTAGTTGGTAAGGGAAACTGTGAGCAATTTAACGGGGCCATGATCATGAAAGAAGAGAGTTCCGTTGAGCATAAATGTGTTCTGAAGTTAAGATCAGATGAAAATATATATAGAGAAATATGTGATTCTCCAAATGAGATAAAGATTTTACAACTTCGATTCCTGACCAGTTCATACTGGATCTTTTTGCAATGCATATTTAATTTTTTGTGGACCTCGAAACTGATCACTTTATAGCATCATATGATTTGAAGTTTGGGAGGCCTCAGTTACCTTGCAAATTTTCAGATAGTGCATCTTTTGCCAACCTTGGAGTAGTTAGTTTCAGTTTGGCCAAGCACCAGCATTTGATTGCTTAGTGTGATTTTTTATATTTTTTTCCCTCAGGATTCAATTGGCATTTTTGTCCATCCCTCTGGAATTGAACGATCATTACATCAATCCATAGATTTGATAGCAGGATTGTATGGAGATAAGCAAGGAAAGCAATATCGAGTATGGGTGGATCGAGTTTCCTCTGCACAGATTGGTTCAGATGTATGGCTTGTGAAGTTTGATAAGTGGGAGTTATCTGGTGAGATTTGCATGGTCTTATATTTTGGCTTTTTAGAGCATATGCTTTTGCAATCTCTGTACTTTATTCATCTTCTATTGTAGTCCACTCTTTACAAGTAAATGAGGAATGGGGCTTTGTGTGGTCTATGTTGCTTATTCTACAATGCTTGTAAATTGAGACCTCTTAATCACGACATCAGCCTAGTTGCTTATTCTAAATAGGGAATTTACTAATTTTCTGATCATTTTGCATCATTTTGATTCACTGGTAGTGCAAAATAAGTGTAGTTAAGAACTGGAGCTTTGTTCTGGAGTAGGCATGCATTTGTTGATCCAAATTGCTTTGTCAATCACTTACATCTATGAAAGTTAAGGAAAAGCAATAAACTTGATAGCTATTCTATAATTCAGTAATGTAATGCCTAATTTATAAGTAACACACTTTCAGTTATCAATAACATAATGATAGAAACAGATAGCTTCCATTTCATACTGGAAAATAATTAGTAATTTGTAGGATCAAAGAGCCTTCATAAGCCATGGTGTGACATTTTTTTCTTAATTGCTGTTCTGTCATAAGTAGTCCTTTAGGCTATCTGCAGGTGCATTTGAGCCCTGTTATAAAGTTGCTGCTAATTGGGAAGTTTCTTCTAGATTTATAACCATTCAAAGAATATATTTTTAACCAATTGATTTGTTAGTTTGCAAGGAGCCTTGGTCTTATTTTAAGTACTGTGATTCTTGAAGTTTCCTCAACAACATTTCCTTTTAGGTCAAAATTGAGTACATATGAACTTCTATTTATGAGTGCAGCAACAAGAAAAGTCAAATTTAGTTTCCCAGATTCATCTTATAATTACCTTTATATTTCATATTTGCATTTATAGCGTGATAGTTAGTCTGTTGACTTTCTGATTATTGAACAGCCACACAAACTAGTATTGTTGAATATTAGGAGAAATCGCCTTTCATGCCCCTTTATAGAATGTTATTATTGGGTTTTGTCGTGATTATTATAGAAGTAATGCTATACATATTGAATAGTATCGCTAATTTTTCATCTTAAGTGATGTCATCTTACAGGATACTACCATATCATTTACCACATCAACCTATAATATATACTTTTGTGCTATTTTAGAAAGATACATCACTTCGGATGAAAATTCTGGTGTATGCTTGGAATGCATAGCATTATGTTATCATATATTTCAGTTTAAACTATTTTGAATCTTTTTTTTGGCTTTTTAACATTAAAGTTGTATAAATTCTTGCAGGAGTGGAGCGGCAATGCTGTCTAACCACTGTTTTACTGAATTCAAAGGTATTTCTGAAAATTAGTTCCTTCTATTCCTTTGGATGTCATTTCCGCATGATGATGTTTCCAGAAATACATAATTTATTTATTATATTTGAGTGTCCTATCATGGATTTGGCAGGCCATGGTACCGGATGGATTCACATGGATGCATATTCATCAGACTTGGCTGGAGGGTTCAGGACCAGAAGATCAAACTACATGGATTCTATAGTTTACCAACTAGGTAAGTACATAATTTTCCAGACATGACATACAGTATTGTAAAAAGCATATACCAGTTCTCAATTTCTCTCCTTCCTTTCTTTACTCCCCTTAGCCAGGCAAGATTCTCATGTCAGTCCTCCTCATCCCCAGTCCACATCCTTGTTACCTTAGAAACAAATGATTTAAGCCTTCGGCAAGCATTATCGCCATCTATTGAGCCAATAATCTTTGCTACTGGAATTTTAAGACCAAAAATTGCAAAAGCTACAGTATGAAACAAGGTAATGTAATGTAAAGGTCTAATAAATTTAGTCATTTCTTAATAACTCTTTCAGTCTACCCTAATTAACAACAATATTCTGCAGTTCTTGTATTGATGTCTAGTTTATAAACCATGAAGTAATCATGGTGTTGCTCTTAACTTCGCTGTTCCTTGAGTTTATAAGAGACAAGTTATGTAAGTGATTGTACTTGAAATAAATAGATGAAAGCTGGATTATCTGTTTGAAAAATAACTGTTGTAATTGTATGTATTAGTTTAAACGAACGAATTGCATTCAATAATGCTTTGATTTTTCCTCTATTAGTTTTCTATCGTATCTCTTATTTGAAGTTTTTGATGAAGGAAGCAAACTCAAATCTAGTAAAAAATTAAAAACAAATATACGTAATACAAGTGTAAAATCAAATTATACATCATTTATATAACCTATACAAACAAATCTTGTTTATTTCCTAACTTAATTTCCCTCATTGTCTAAAAAACATATGGAAAGACAACTTTTACATCTTGTGGGAAATTCTCAAATTTAGAAAGGTACCATTTCCTAGTAGCATAACTCCTTCCCATCAAGTAAAAACTTACACCTAAAGCACAACATAATGCATACAAATTTTGAGAAATTAGAAAAATCCCCCAAAATGTTAATATCTCAAACAGATAATGTGGGCACACTATTCTATCAAACAAACCTCCCTTAGGAATCTTGTATTGTTTTTCACCATCTTCTCTCATTTTTGAAAGCAGGTAGTGGTGATAGAAGTTACCACTTATTCCCAATAAGAACACAACCATCCCAACATACTTCAAATCGATTCTTGGCTCTGGTAATCCTTCTGATAGGTGTTGAAAATATATCATCATTGCAGTGGCCGCGAAATACAATGCACCGATAAGAATTGCAGAATCAAGAATCACTCCACCACTGTATTTGTGAATGAAAAGCACCTAGTAGAACAATGTTTGTCGATTCCATAATGTTATCAGAAAACACATAACATATAACATCAAATGTAAACATATAATGTCGAAAGTTTATATATAACATGAAAATTATTAGTTGCATCTTGAATTTTGTTTAGGCATATGGATATTGTCATAATATCAGCCAATTTCATTCTTTTAACTAATCGAGGAAAAATTTGCATTGATAAAACCTGGTGGGCGAATTTTCCATCTCCAAGGAAGACCACTCTGATCTCCTATCAAAAAAATTCTCAATTCTCCTTTTGGGGCTTCGACTCTCACAAAAGTAGGAGAGGGTTTTTTAACTGCTAATGACTCGATCTCCAAAATCAGTTAATTATGGATTGTTTTCTCTGTCAAAGCATCTGACTTCTAAATTCTCATAGGCCCCCGGAATTCCTTCCAAAGCTTGTTGAATAAAATCTTAACATTTACATCATTCTAAACTTCGGATTTCAACTCCTTGCGAAAAGATAAGTATAAATCACAATATATACATATAGGAATATTGAAGAAATGAATGTCTGTAAAATTATTAAATATGAAGATTACCTCGAAGTCTCTTTTGAAGAAATGGAAGGTAAGAGCAGAAGTGAGCAGCAGAAACCTGAAACCCTGATGAGGGAAGATCCAGAAAGAAGCAAGACCGGCCAAAACTGCAGGTGTATAAAATATAAGCATCCCAGTTCTACTGGAAAGTTTAACCTGTGATTTCCCAGAATTATTAACATTCCAAAACTTTGAATATTTCAGGTGCTTTCCCATGATTTCTGAGCACCCCAAGAATACTAATGACACCAAACTCAACACAGACATGGCTGTGATCAAGAAAGAAGGCGGTGTGATGATTGAATTGTCCATCAGCAACATCGCTTCTGCTTCTCTATCTCTCTGAAATTCGATAGGGGCGGAAATTTTGAAGAAGAAGAGACGTTGACTTGTTTGATTTGCGTTCAAATTTGATGTTCAGTTTAAGAGGAATTATAAAATTAAAAAGATAAAATAAAGAAGATATATCCCTGACTTATTAGGGAGAAATTGCACCCCTGAAACTCGAAAAATTGATCTGTGCATCCCATAAGTACGGAAACTATCAAAAACACCCCTTATCGTTTGTCTTTTCCCATTAAAATAGATGGAAAACCATGTTTGACCATTCAAATTACAAATTTACCCATCATTTATTAATAACTTGACCATGTTACCCCTGCAAAATTATCATTTTAAAAAAAATGTTATATAAACGACTCAAACTTTTGAACGCAAATATAAAATTGGTATACTCAACGACGCTACTACACATCTTCAATATTTATATACCGCAACAATAAATATATAACATAATGAAACAGTATTATACTTAATTTATGTTAAAATATATTTAATATTGACAATAAAATAGATTTAAAATTAATAATACAGTAAATTTAAAATTCAAGTTAAACTAATTCAGAAAAAAAAAAAAATCTGTTTTTTCTTATAAAGGTGGGAGACAATTTTTTTTTTTTTTTTTTTTTTGGAAAAGATAGGAGAAAATTTTAACATAAGATAAAATTGAAATATAAAATTAAAAAAAGAAGGTGATCATACACTACGATTTCAAGAATAGCCAGATTTCTTTTTCTTCTTTTTTTTTTTTTTGTATTTTGTTAAATTTTAAATTTAAAAGTATAATATTATTTTAATAAAATTCTCTTATTGAAAATTTAAATATATTAAATTTTACAGGAACTTTAAATATATTAAATTTAATATTTTTCAAATATTGTTAAATGTAAAATTTAATATATAATAACCAACAATGGATTAACCGAGTGGCAAAGGATATGCTCCTTTGTGGTCTCAAGTTCGAATCACAAGAATAGTTATTAATATTGTTGGCCACAGACTGCAGGGTTTACCTTCTTTCAAAAGCCTTATTCAAGGTCGAAAGACTAGTTAAGGTGCACGTAAACTGATTTGGACACTCTTAGTAACCAAAAAAATTTAATATTCCAATTTTAGTCTAAATATATTAAATTTATATTAACTACAAAATAATTTCACAGAAGTTGTTAATATATTTAAATTTTAATTGATACCCTTATTCCTTCTTTATTGCTTAATTATAACATTATGTTATTAAACATTTGCATAAAATGTGTTTAGCAAAGTAGCGTACTGATTTAATTTTGTATTGTCAAAGGTTCGAACCTGTTATGTAACAATTTATTCAAAAGGCAAGTTTAACTGGAAATGTCAATCCTGCCCTTGACGCCATCCATTTTAATGGAAAAAACTAACGGCATGGGGTGTTCTTGGTAATTTTTGTAGTTATGGGAAGAAAAAGTCAGTTTTTCGAGTTTTAGGGGTGTAATGAGTATTCTCCCATGACTTATCTAGATAGAGTTAACTACATTTAGTCCCAGAGGTTTAGTCTGCTAAATTAAGTCCACTAGAAACTAAAAGTAACAGTTTGGTTCTTGCCATTATTTAATAATTTTTTTTGAAAATACTCATTATCTTGTCTTATGTAAATGACAAAAAATTTGTGAAGTATATTAAAAATTTAGAAAATTTATGTTGATTATAAGACAAATAATAATTAACGAACTAAGTGTATTTTGGACTTATACAAAAAAATATTCAAATTTTTCCTAAACTAATAAAAATCTGAGTGTTACTTATGAATTTTATTGGACCTAAAAGTACTGTGGTCGAATATAAGGACCAACATGTGCTTAACTTTCTTGTATATGTATTAAGGATCTGTACCATCCACTTAGATGTGATATGCCAGCTTAAGCTCTCTGTCTGGCATTTATTTTTAGAAGTGGGGATGGGGGATCCCCAAGAGCATAATATCAATACACACTCTTGGCCCATACTAAAAAATTCTCAAACTCTTTTTTTTTTTTTAATTGAAATATTAATTAATTGTATATATTGATAAATAACATATTTTTGCAAAGGTTAGGTTTTGTGGGTTTCCACATTTCTCCCTCCCCACCCCCAAACTTTTCTTGATTGTTCTCTCTGATTCCCTTACTCATCAATCACTGCTACATAAAATTTCAGAAAATCTGTTTGAATCAAAATTTGGTGATAAAGAGGGCTTACAAAGAAATTATTTTTCTTAGAAAAGGATTATTAAAATAAAATTAATTTATTGATAAAGAGGGCTTACATCGAAATTTTGTGAAACTTAAATAACAATTATATTTTTCTAGAAAACATATGGAAAGACAGCCTTTACATCTTGTGGGAAAATGTCAAATTTGGAGAGGTACCATTTCCTAGTAGCATAACTCCTTCCCATCAAGTAAAAACTTATACCTAAAGCACAAAATAATGCATACAAATTTTGAGAAATTAGAAAAATCCCCCAAAATGTTATTATCTCAAACAGATAATGTGGGCACACTACTTTATCAAATAAACCTCCCTTAGGAATCTTGTATTGTTTTTCTCCATCTTTTCTCATTTTTGAAAGCAGGTAATGGTGATACAAGTTACCACTTATTCCCAACAAGAACACAATAATCCCAACATACTTCAAATCGATTCTTGGCTCCGGTAATCCTTCTGATAGGTGTTGAAAATATATCATCGTCGCAGTGATCGAGAAATAAAATGTACCGATAAGAATTGCAGAATCAAGAATCACTCCACCACTGTATTTGTGAATGAAAAGCACCTAACGATGCAAAACAATGTTATCAGCTCAATAATGTTATCAAAACACATAATATATAACATAACACCAAAGCATTTAATNGTATTTTAAATATTTTTATTATTTAATAATTAATTTATGTCGACACTTAAAGGCTAGTGTCATTATAGTTCATAAGTTATTGTTAAAAATACCTTATGTTGTCAAACTAATTTTCTAAGGTGATTTTGTTGAAAGATAATTATAAATAGACATATTTTACAATTGAACAAATGGGTTCTTAATGGATCAATCCATATTTGGGTTTAGTATCTTAAAAGATAATATTAATAATTTTATATTTAAAAGAATAATTTTAATTAGACATGAGACCTGCGCATATGTTTATTCAATGTTTTTAAAATAGATTGTAAACAAATTTATTCTAACAAAATAAACTAATTAGATTAAAATATAATAATTGTTAAATAATACAAATTTTAAAGTAAATATAAATTTTATATATATACAAACTTGTGTTAAGATAAAATTAATAATTGTACCTATATAATTTGTTGAAAGTCAAGCAATTGACTGTATTTATTTGATTGTTTTGTTTCCTTATTATGTATTAGCTAGTGTATCTTGTTTTTTATTATTTTGGGAGTTTTTTATTTTCTTAATTATTCTTTTCCTTTTACAAGAATATTGAATTCCTAACTGCCAAATCTTCTTGATTTATTTTTATTTTTTCCTTTAAGAGAGATTCCTTTCTGGATTTGTCTCACACTTTTTACTTATTTATTTATGTCTTGTTTATTCAATAAAATATCACAAGAAGAAATAGAGTCTGTTTTTCCTCCTTCTTCAAGTCTTTATTTTCTACATGGTATCAGAGCAGGTTTAATCTTGTATCTTTAATCTTCATCATCGAGTTTTTCCTACTCGGTATCTTTTGGTCTTCCAAATCTTCATGCCCAAATACGGACCAGCCTCCAGTATGGTTACAGAAAGTAATTCTTCCTCAACTTCTTCGGGCATCATTGTTCCTTCATCTCCTTTTGTTCACAATATGGAGCCACCATCACCTGAAGTAAGTCCTTTTAATAAGGAACAAATGGATATGCTTAAAAAATTATTGTCTTCTCTTTTGTCTACTCAGTCACAAACCGGTTCGTCTTCAAATCATGTCATTGGTTCTGGAACCCTGGCTCACAAAGGTAATTCTATGAGCGTTTTTTCTATGTATAAGAAACAAGACAAACCCTGGATTGTGGACTCAAGAGCATCTAATCATATGACGGGGGATGCAACGGTTTTTAATACATTTAACTCATGTCCAAATAATTTAACCATTAGAATAGCAGATGGTTAACTATCAAAGGTTACTGGTACAAGTTTAGTTGTGTTATCAAAGGATATTACACTCAATTCTGTTCTTCTTGTTCCTAACTTGGACTGCAATTTGTTGTCAATTAGTAAACTTACTAAGGAAATGAGGTGTGTTACTAATTTTTTCTCCACTCATTGTGAATTTCAGGATTTGGATTTGGGGAAGACGATTGGCAATGCTGAGGAGTGCTCTGGACTCTATATCTTTAAGGAGTGCCCACTTTCACAAGAACAACCTCAAAAGGCAGTTAAAGTTAGTTGTTTTTCAGTATTTCATCAAAATAATGATAGTACTATTATGTTATGGCTCTATCATTTAGATCATCCCAATTTTATGTACCTCAAACCTTTATTTCCTTCGTTATTTAATAAAAATCCAAAATCTCTTGAATGTGAAATCTGTCAATTATCAAAACATGTTCGAAATCTGTCAATTATCCAAACATGTCTGATCTCATTTTCCTATTCAACCTTATAAAGCATCGAGACCATTCTCTATGATTCACAGCTATATCTGGGGTCCGTCAAAAATAAAAAATGTAACAAGTGCTAGGTGGTTTGTCTCATTCATAGATGATCATACTAGATTAACCTGGATGTTTCTTATGAAAGACAAATCAGAAACAAGTCAAATCTTTAAAAATTTCAAAAATATGATTCATACCCAATTCCAGTCACAAATCCAAATCCTAAAGTCTGACAATGCTAGAGATTACTTCAACGTCGTTCTAAGGGAATTCCTATTAAAAGAAGGGATAGTTCACTTCAGTTCCTGTGTAGATACCCCATAACAAAACGAAGTCGCTAAAAGGAAAAATAGACATTTGTCAGAGGTAGCTAGGTTGCTAATGTTCTCCACAAATGTACCTAAATTCTTCTGGGGGGAAGCTGTTCTTACAACAGCATATCTTATCAATAGGATGCCATCTAGGGTGCTAAAATTTCAAACACCATGTCAAACAATTCTAAAATCTTTTCTTACTACTTGTCTCATTTCCATTATTCCACCTAAAATTTTTGGATGCTCTGTCTTTGTCCATGTCCATCAACAATATAAAAGTAAACTTGATCCTAAGTCACTCAAGTGCATCTTCCGTGGGTATTCAACAAATCAAAAAGGATATAAGTGTTACTCTCCTGTCACAAGAAAATTCTACAATTCAATGGATGCCACCTTTTTTGAGAATCAGCCATACTACCCCAAAACTGATATTCAAGGGGATAACTCAGCTCAAGAATATCAATGTTGGGACTTTGAGTCATTCCTATAGTCACCCATCACCACACAGAAAATCACATTCCTCTAGAGTCATTTAGTCAACCTCAACCTACCAAAAACACCGAGTTCATTGTTGATTTGCGGGATACGGAGCACATCCAAGAGGAAACAGAGGAAAGAGCACTTTCTCAACAAAACCATGAAGCTGAACCAAGTCCTAATCCTCCCAAAATTCCAGGTAATAGTTCTGACTTAGATTGTTCTGTTGATTTTGAGTTAGAAAATAAGATTTTAAATATGCCCATAGCTTGGAGAAAAGGGGTTCGGTAATGCTCTCAACATCCCATTGGAAACTTTATTTCATATGATGGTTTGTCACCTTCTTTTCGTGCTTTCACTAGTAGTCTTATAGAGATACAAGTTTCTCGCAATATTCAGGAAGCCTTTGAGTGTCCTAAGTGGAAGGTTGCCGTTAATGAAGAGATTCAGGCACTAAGAAAGAATGGAACTTGGGAAATTACTGATCTTTTGAGGGGTAAGAAAACTATTAGGTGTAAGTGGATCTTCACAGTGAAATATAAGGCAGATGGTAGTGTGGACAGGTATAAAGCTCGTTTGGTTGCCAAATGATTCACCCAATCCTATGGCATTGACTATTAGGAAACTTTTGCTCCAGTTGCCAAGCTCAACACTGTTCGTGTACTTTTATCTTTGGCAGCTAACCTTAATTGGTATTTGCATCAACTGGATGTGAAGAATGTCTTCCTTAATGGTGATCTAGAGGAAGAAGTCTATATGGATATTCCTGATGGGCTTGAGACATCATCTAACTCCAACAAGGTTTATAGACTTCGAAAATCCTTGTATGGACTCAAGCAATCTCCACGGACATAGTTTGAGAGATTTACTAAAGCAGTAAAAGGTTATGGATATTCCCAATGTCAATCTGACCATACTTTATTTGTGAAGCACTTTCCTGAAGGGAAGATGGCCATTATTATTGTTTATGTGGATGACATCATTCTAACAGGTGACCATGAGAAAGAAATTAGACTTCTCAAACAATTCTTGGATAAAGAATTTGAGGTCAAGGACCTAGGGAATCTCAAGTACTTCTTGGGGATGGAAATTGGTAGGTCAAGGAAAGGCATCTCTGTCTCCCAACGTATGTATGTTCTGGATTTGTTGAGTGAAATAGGAATGCTTGGTTGTAAGTCTGTCGAGACCCCCATGGATCCAACAGTCAAGCTTGAAGTTAATGATGGGAGTGTTCCTATCGACAAGGGACGGTATCAATGCCTTGTGGGGAAACTCATCTATCTTTCCCATACTAGACTTGACATCGGTTTCTCCGTCAGTGTAGTCAACCAGTTCATGAATTGCCCGACTGAGAGACATATGATTGCTGTATATAGAATTATGAAATATCTCAAGATGACTCCGGGTAAGAGTCTATTATTCTCAAGAACTTCTAAGAGAAATATCGAAGTTTATTCAGATGCATATTGGGCAGGATCCATTACAGATCGACGATCAACTTCTGGATATTGTTCTTATGTGTGGGGAAACTTGGTGACTTTGAGAAGTAACAAGCAATCAGTTGTAACCCGTAGTAGCGCAGAAGCAGAATTTCAACTATGGCACAGGGAATTTGTGAAGGAATTTGGTTACAAAGATTATTATTAGAATTAAAGGTCACCTTGGAGCATCCTATGTAATTATAATGTGATAATCAAGCTGCCATCAGGATAGCCAAGAATCTGGTTCATCATGATCGAACTAAGCATGTGGAGATAGATCGACATTTTATTAAAGAAAAGATTGAAGAATGAATTTTTAAGGTTAGCTACACTCCGACAACCGATCAAACTGCATATATTCTCATAAAAACTCTTGCTCGAGCCAACTTCGAAGACTTTATAGAGAAACTTGGTATGATCAACATCTATACATCGGCTTGAGGGGGAGTGTTGAAAGTCAAGCCGTTGATTGTGTTTATTTGGTTGTTTTGTTTCCTTATTATGTATTAGCTAGTGTATCTTGTTTTTTAGGAGTTTTTTATTTTCTTAAGTATTCTTTTCCTTTTACGAGAAGATTGAATTCCTAATTGTCAAATCTTCTTGATTATTTTTATTTTTTCCTTTAAGAGATATTCCTTTCCGGAATTGTCTCACCCTTGTTACCTATTTATTTATGTCTTCCTTATTCAATAAATATCACAAGAAGAAATAGAGTATGTTTTTCCTCCTTCTTCAAGTCTTTATTTTTGACATAATTATTAATATCAATTATAGGTAGATGTCATTAAATCATTCATCAAACTTGAGAAGATCACATGAATATTATATGGTTTAATTATATTTTCAGGATCATCACCTTGTACAATTGATATTATTTTTGCAGACATGTCTTTAATATTCGATGTCAGTATTTTGTAGTAAATCGTGTATGATATTTAAGATCACCTGAATATTATCAAAATCAACTATTTAAACTTAAAATTTATACTGGCCTTCCGCAATTTCTATAACTTATATTCATTTTCAAGTTGCGTTGCACATATATGTTTATTATATATTTTTTTACATTATTATTGGTTTTTTGGTCTTTTAAATATATATTTTCTATATTGAAGTTCATTTTATATTGAATTGATAATTAAAAAAATCAATAAATAAAATATCCACAAATTGAACTCAAAGTCTATATCATCATGGTTCTTCTCAAATATGTCACCATTTGAAATCTACAACCAAAGTTTAAAACTTTGTCAAGAAAAGCAAAAAAAATTGTAGGATAACCCATTGAGTATTATTAATAAGTCTATAAATCAATCAAAGAAAGAGAAACCTTGTTGAAAAATGTGAACTTTTAAGTAAGAGACTTGCAAAGTCAAAGGAAAAAACTGATTTTGATTGTTGAAATGAGAAAATGAATTATTTTTATTTTAGAAATTAAAAAAAAAAATTGCATTTGATTTATTATTTTGGATAAGATTTTGGGAATAATATTGGGTAGTTGAATAAGGGGGTATTACGAGGTAAAATTTAAAAATTTCTAAAAAACCCCTTAGGTTTGCTAATTTAATTAAACACCCCAATATATAAAAATTGTGTAAAATAACAAAAACACCCCCATCACCCGCAATGTCAGATTCCGACCACCATCGCCAGAATCTGATCAAAAAATTGCGTTACGACACAAACCGGTCGGATCTGTGTCGTAAAGCGTCGATATGACCTTTTCCGGCCAGATCCACCACGGATCTGGCCGAAAAATGCCAGATCTACAACCAGATGTGGCCATTGACTGCCGCAAAGGTCCATCTGTTGACGACTAAATCTAGCCTTTTCCACTGTGGATTTGGCTGGAAAAGGCCAGATCAGTGAATAACCATCCATTTCAGGTCGTGGTGTAAGTCGTTGTGACAGAT